TACAATGCCCGTGCGTTCGATGAACATCATCATTCGATGAACACCCCCAACAACTCAATATAGTCAAAAAGATGAGGTTGTAGAGCCACAACAAATCGTGATAGAATTGCGCAAAGCTAGGATTATACTATATACAGGCCTGCGAGAAATTTGGCTTATTCAGATAATTTTTTAGAGGGCGTTATCACGCGATCACGGCGACTACGCGGTGGAGCAGCTTGTGCAACCTGTGTGCCTCCCACCACAGCTGGAGCAACACCACCACGCTTTTGACGCTTTGTAGCTGTCGTATGAGGTTGTGAGGCCTTGCGCTTACCCTTTTGGGACAATTTTATAAGCTTCTTGGTGTTGTTGATGAGCTCACGGTGTTGTTTCTTGGCTAGCTTTTCAGCCTCCTCCTTCTTCTTCTCCTCCGCCCGTCTCTCCCGCTCTACACGCTTCACAGCTTTGAGTTGAGCTTCACAATCGCGTGCTGCCTTCTTGATCTCGGCTTGCTTGGCTTTTTCAAGCTTTTCAAGCTCAGCTTGTTGTTGTTGTGATGCCCGACGATCGCGAGCTCGTTGTACACTCCTTGGTGACCACAAAACGGCTCCCCCATGATACTCATGATCCTCGTCAAGCTCGAGGGTGAAGCTCTGCTTTTTCCGTCTCTCCTTGATCAAGAGGGAACGTTTGAGGCCCTTGATCTCGTCGTGGAGGAGTGTATTTTGAGCTGCAATGTGGTGTAAACTTCGTTGAAGCTTCTTGACGTCCTTACTGTTTTGATCCTTCACCTCACGGCGTACAATTGACTTCAGCTTGAACCAATTGCTCCCTGATAGTACTGAGCTGCTGCTGTCAGAATCTGAAGCTTCCTTGGCAAACTTCTTGAGTATAACGTCTGGGTTAGGTGGGTATATACCAGTAACTTCAAATGACTTCTGGATGAGTGGAGGCTTGAATACTTTGCTCCAGGACCTCCAGAAGAGCGGAAAGAAGTCTCCTTTAGCTATATTGAGTATCCCTTGGCTGTCTTGAAGATATCCATCCAACTCAGTTGAGTAAGCGTCCGATAGGGGTTTAAACATACAAACGTCAAGCGGTTGAAGCGTATGAGTAGCGTGAGGAGGCAGTACAGCTAACAGGATCTTGTGCTCGTGGCAATACTCAATAAAGTCCGTAGTTACATGGGATCCGTGGCCGTCAAGGACTAATAATCGATACCCAGTTGAAGCGTATCGTCTGGTCTCTCGTTCAAACACCTGTTTGAGCCAAGCTAGTCCTATATCGTTGTTGGACCAGCCGGAGGGAGATGAGGTTACAAAGACTGAGTGCTCTCCTTCTTGTATAGCATCAACCCAGCTTGATTGTACAGCTCCGTTGGACCCCTGGAAGATGAGAGAAGGACTCAATACTTTGCCATCCGAACAAATACAAGCCATAACGGTTATCCACTCGCTTGAGCCATCTTCAAGAGCTTGCCGTAACCCCTTTTGCTCGTAGAGTTGTTTGGAGAAGATACGCTTTGACCTAGCAATCCTTCCAAGTTGAAATCCCTTTTCGTCCATATTGAATATATGGAGGGGTTGTACGTTGTACTCCTCCATCTTTTCATGCAAAAGCTTGAAGTACAAGCTGTACTTGCTGCCTGAATCGGCGCTGTGCCTTAGGCGGGTCATCCCTTTGGTGTAGCGAGAGATCAGATGATTCGGGTGGCGCTTGATGAACCGGGTAACCCACTGTTCTGTAACCTCAAAACCAGCCAAAGATGACGCGTAGCGTCGTATCATTGCTCTTGTAGGTGGTGTACGTCGCTCATTAAGCGTATCAATGTATCGTACAAGCTCGATTTCGTGTTGTGGGTGGAGGGATCGCTTGCGGATGCCATAGGCTTCAGTTTCTCCCTTGTGCCTTCGAGCGAGCGTAACGCGGTTGACACCATACTTTTTCGCGATTTGTTGGTACGAGAATTTATCTCCTGGTTCGCGCGATTCGATTTCTGCAATCGCTTCTTGAATCGGATCCATGGT